CCCCAAAACCCCAAAACCCCAAAACCCCAAAACCCCATTATTTCATGTTCACATTGAATTTTAATAAAAATGTTCGAAAGCTACTGCCGGTGGGTGATCCTTTCGCTTGAATGAAAATCCCTGACCCTACCTTGATTGGAATATTTCTTCTCAGAAGTTCATGATATATTAGGCTGGATCTCTCTTCTCCAACTAGGAAAACGTTCCGGGCTGGTAATCTTTTTGGTGCTCCCATCCTATGAAATTAGATGAATGAATACAATTTGGTACACATTCCCATATAACTTTTCATCATAAGTCTTGTTTATAGCCTCGTTAGATCTTTTATCAAATACTCTTCTCATATTCCGATTTACTGGGCCAGGAACTTCAGTGAGCCTAGAAGTGAAATACTTTAGGTTGGTCTTATCCTTCTTCTCAAATCTGTTCCCTCTGGACTGAAGAGTTACCCGTTTAGGACTGCTGTTCAGTGAGAAGTAGTTATCTGGTTGTTTATCCTCATTGAGGAATACCTTCACCTTATTTTATGTTAAAGCCATCCTGACTATATTTCTGACTGTAATGGTTGTACTCATCTTTATACCTAAAACTTAGAAGGATGTGTACCATTTATTATTCTGAATAAACTTTCCCCAAAGAATAGGTTGTTCTTCTCTCTGGCTACTCTTACATGTTCTGGATAAGATACTGCTAGATCCTGATCTTTGCCTGTTGAATGAATCATATAACTGGCTTACCTAAATTTTATACGTTCTCCTTTATCAATGAAAGTAGGTTTTATTTCATCAATTTCATTCTTATCAATACTCGATACAACCTCATTTTGAATAGTTTTAGTCAGCATACTCGAAAAATGCACTGCATTCTCAAATTCCTTAGCTTTCTCCTGATATCTCACCTGTAAATCCCTATGCCTACACCCATACACCTCCACCCTTACCTCTTCCTCCTTCTCCTCATCACACAATCCACCCCTCTACTAATCTCCTTAAATCTCTTCGACACTACATAAAATCCTACCTCGAACACCTACTCTCCACACAAGATTTCCCCACCCCAGTCTCTTCCCTACTGACCCTCTTCTTCCTGCCCACTGTCCCTCTGCTCTCAACGTGCCCACTCTTCTTCCTTCCTAACAAAATTTCTTCTTCATCAACTTTTTGTTCTAGGTCAGATTCTTTGGGTTCTGAAGAACTTTCTTCCTCGGCTTCTTGTCGAGGGGAGTCTAAGTCAACTATGACTTTTTGGGTGAGGTAGTTGAGGGAGCTATAGGAAGGAAATTTAGGAAGGGGAGGGAATGAAGGGAGGGATTTATGGGAGTTTGGAGGGGAAATGGGGTGGAGGGGATTAGAGGGGCGGCGAAGGGATAAGAGGGGAAGAAGGGGGTTAGGGGGTGTGAGGTGAGATTAGGTACCATTTTCCATGTCTGTTTTGATATGCTCTCATTTTGGGGTATTAGTTTTATTTTCAATATTTTATTTTTGCGAAGGGGTTTTGGGGTTTTGGGGTTTTGGGGTTTTGGGG